CACCTCACAGATTGGCTAATATAGCAAAAAAGGAAAATGATAAAATGATAAATGTTGGAGGGAATTGGGAAAACTGGGAAACTAATAAGTTGGTGAAGTTGCAAATTGATCCATCCATTCTGGAGAACAATTTGGAACTCTGCCCAAAGGGCTATAAAATTGTTCATACCCTTTGATCCAGCAAAACCACTGCTAGGTCTATATCCAAAAGAGATTTTAAGTGTGTGTGTGGGGGGGGGCAGCTATTTGTATAAAAATATTTATAGCAACTCTTTTTATGGTGGCAAAGAATTGGAAATTGAGGAAATGCCCATCAATTTGGGAATGGCTAAACAAATTGATGTATGATTGTGATGGAATATTATTGTGCTGTAAGGAATGAAAATCAGAATGATTTCAGAAAAACCTAGAAATACTGAACTGATGCAAAGTAAAGTGAGCAGAACCAGGAGAATATTGTACACAGTAACCACAATATTGTTCATTGATTCTAACATAGTGATGTCACTTTGGTCCTCTTTGAGAACAAAGGACAACAACCAACCAACCAGTGCTGAATAGAATATAAATTAATTTAGAAGATTATAAATTCATTTTTGTAATTGTGTATTTTATCAATCACTGCAAGCCTTAAGTACAACTACTGTCATGTTGGGGGTAGAGTGTAAAAATTCCCTTACATTGAAGAGGGGTTCTCATGGTTAAACATGTTAGGATCTGTGCCCCAACCCTGAATACGGTTTCTGGAATCAGAGGACTAGGGTGAAAATCTCACCTCAGACACAACACATATAAGCTTGAGCAAGTCACTTAACTTCCCCATACTTCTGCTTCCTCATTTGGAAAATGAAGGAATTTGATGAAATAACTTCTGAGGTATTTCCAGTTCTAGATCTATGATTCTATGTTCTATCCCACTTTAACTTTTCTCTCCTCCCCCATCATGTTCTCCACCCCATACCCATCCCCCTCTCCAATGTTTAGCTATGAGTCCCTTAAAGATTGCCTTTTGCGTGAAGATAATGATGCTTTTTAGATTCTGGGTTAAGAAAAAGAAGATCAGGCTCATTCACAAAAGAATGACTTTTGCTGAACTGGCTGATTTCTACATGTTGTTTGGCCCAGCAGAATCATTATTAGGTTTATAATCTAAAGATATCAAAGAAATAAACACAAAATATTTATAGCACTTATTCTTATATCAAAGAACTGAAAACAAAGGGGGCACCCATCAAAAGGGGAATGGCTGAATCAATTATAGTATGTGAAAAATAAAACGTTACTTTGCCATAGGAAATGAAAAAAAGATGGTTTCAGAGAAACCTAGAAGACTTGTACAAATTGATGCAGAGTGAAGTGAGGAGAACCAAGAGAACAATTTATACAAAAACAGCATTGTTATAAAGAAAAAAGAACTTTGAGAGAATTAAGAATTCTGATGAATGTAATGACCGATCACAGTATCAGAGAACTAAGAATGAAGCTCTCAGCTTACCTCCTGACAGAGAGGTGATAGACTTAAGATGCAAAATAAGAAATACATTTTTTTCAACACAGATAATGTTGAAATTTGTGTGGTCTGACTAGGCACATTTGTTATAAGCACTTTTTTTTTCAATTGAGGAGGTATGAGAGAGATGGGCATTAAGGATGGAATAGTTAAACAAGAACAGAAAGAAAAGAGTGTCACTGAAGTATTTTAAGTGCACGGAAGAGAACAGAATGAAGGCCAGAAAGAATTATAGATAAGAAGGAAAGTTTTAAAAGTCACATGTTGAATGTGTGTGTGTGTGTATATATACATATATATATATATGTATGTATGTATGTATGTACACACACACACACACACACACACACACACACACACTGGTTGGTTGTTGTCTTTCGTTTTTGAAGAGTAACAAAATGACATCACTATGCTAGAGACAAGTTTTAGTGTGTCCAACTATGGCCAATTGGATCAACATGAGCTCAGATATTCTACCACAGGTCAGGCACAAATAGTCCATGTTAACATTTGGGGTGGATTCTCTGGGTTTCCATATTTTGCATTTCTCCTGAGCTATTTCAATTCTGCTTTGCTCATAGAGCACAGCACTTTTTCTGAGGTGGGCATGCCGTGCTGAGCAGTCCTGTGCCAGTGTCTCCCATGTCATACAATCAATTCCAAAGTTCTTAAGAGAGACCTTGAGAGTGTCCTTGATTTGCTTCTTCTGACCAACATGTGAATGCTTGTCCTGTGTGAGTTCTCCATAAAATAGTCTGGTGAGTGTATGTTTTGCATTCAAACAATGTGGCCAGCCCATTGGAATTGTGCTGTCTGAAGTAGAGTTTGAATGTGTGGCAGTTCAGTTTGAGAAAGGACCTCAGTGTCTGGTATCTTATCCTGCCAGGTGATCTTCAGAACCTTCCTAAGACAATTCAAATGGAAGTGATTCAATTTCTTGGCATGGCTCTGGTATACTGTCCAGATTTCACAGGCATACAACAATGAAGTCAGCACAATGGCTCTGTAGATCTTCAGTTTGGTAGTCAGTCTACTACCTCTTCTCTCCCATACTTTCCTTCAGAACCTCCCAAACACTGAACTAGCTCTGGCAATGCATGTGGCAACCTCATTATCAGTGTGTACATTCCTGGAAAGTACATTAACAAGGTAAGTGAACTTATGCACAGCATTCAAAACTTCTCCAATTGCTGTAATCTATGGTTCCATGCATGGCTGGGTTGGTGGTGGCTGATTGAATACCTGTATTTTCTTGGTGTTAATTGTTAGGCCAAAATTAGCACAAGCGTCAGAGAATCAGTCCATACTTCATTGCTTCTCAGTTTCAGAGGCTGCATTGAGTGCACAATCATCTGCAAACAGAAAATCATACACCAACATTCCCTCCACTTTGGTCTTGGCTTGTAGTCTTTTCAAGTTGAAGAATTTACCATCAGTGCAGTAGTTGACCTTGGTGCTATGTTCATCTTCATTGAAGGCATTTGACAACATGGTTATAAACATCAATCTAAAAAGCATGGGAGCAAGCACACAGTCTTGTTTCACTCCATTGGTTACTGGGAAAGCACTAGAGCATTATCTATTATCCAGAACCCAGGCAAGCGTGCAGTCATGATGAACTTCTCTGACCAATCAAATTTTGACATAATTTTCCATAAGCCCTCATGACTAACATTATCAAAGGCTTAGATCTACAAACATTGTGTACAGACCTTTGTTCTGCTCCTGGCATTTCTCCTGGAATTGTTGGGCAGCAAACACTGTAACAACTGTTGCTCAGCCCTTTCTGAAGCCATACTGGCTCTCAGGTAGATGACTATATTCCAGGGGAAGGATCAGCCTATTGAAGACTCTAGCAAGAATCTTGCTAGCAATGACTAAGAGAGAGACCCTCTTATGATTGTCACAGGACAATCTATTTCCTTTACCTTTATAGAGATGGACAATGGATACATCCTTGAACTCCTGGTGGATAACTTCCCCTTACCATATAACCTGGAAAATTTCAGTCTGCTTTTGTATGAGCAGTGGACCCCCTACCTTGTAAATCTCAGCTGGAATAGAATTAGCACCAGATGCTTTGCCACACAAAAGCAGCCTAATGGCATTCAAAACCTCTTCTTCAGTTGGAACTTCAGCTAGGGAGAGATGGACTTCAACCTGAAGTAAATGGTCATTGGATTCAGCATTGATTGATGATGGTCTGTTGGGAACATTATGGAAGTGTTCAGCCCATCTCTCTAAGATCATGTCCTTATCATTAATCAATGTGGCCCCTTCAGCACTTAGTAGTTGAGATGCACCATAGGTCTTTGGCCCATAAATAGCCTTCAGGGAATCATAAAAGTGCTTTGGATTGTTACTATCAGCATAGAACTGAATTTCATCTGCCTTTTTATTGAGCCAAGAATCCTGCATCTCTCTAAGCTTTGCTTGTACTTTATTTTTGATGGAATTAAATGCTGCCTTCTTAGAGATGGATGGACTATCCTACTGGTAAAACCCTAAGGAGTTCTTGTTTTTCATTTAGCAGCTTCTGAATTTCCCAATCATTTTCATCAAACCAATTTTGATGTTTGAGAGTGTTCTGACCCAGATAAGCAAATGCAGTGCTGTACACCAAATCTCTGAAAGCTGCCCACTCCTTTTCTGCTCCACAGTTGCCAACTGTGTGTTGGCTCAACTTTCCCTCCAAGTTAGCAACAAACTGTTCCTTCTTAGAGAAGAGCTCTAATCTGTTGACATTAATTCTTCTGGTAGTCATTTTGCCTTGGGGATGTTGCTTTTGTTGAATGCAAATATTTAGCTTGGAGAGGATAAGTCTATGATTAGTCCAGCACTCTGCACCACACATTGCCTTCATCAATCTCACATCCTGTCTGTCTCTTCTCCTTACAATCACATAGTCTATTAAATGCCAATTTTTTTTTTGCAAAGGTGCATCAATGAAGTTTTATTGCATATAGGTAAACAGAAGAGTGTTGGTGATGAGATCATGAGATGCACAAGTCTTCAGTAGTAAGTGACCATTGCTGTTGTTGTTTCTAACTTCATTCCTCCCTAGAACTCCTTACCAAGTCTGGTAGTCTGAGCCTACTTTAGCATTAAAGTCACCTAGAATTTATAAGCTTGTCTTCTTTTGGCACATTGATGATAAGATTCTCTAGGTCTTCATAAAATTTTTCTTTATCAGGGTTCATCATGGTGGGAGCATAGGCACTGATGACGGTGGCATGATGTTTTCCTGCAAGTGGCAATCACATTGCTATAAGTCTATTATTCACTCCTTTTGGTAGGCATACAATCTGCTGACTAGATTGGCTTTGTTTGCAAAACCTACACCAGCTTCACAGCGCTCCCTTTCACTGTGGTCACTCCAGAAAAAATAACAAAACAAAACATGTATCCAGCTCCAACTTCAGTAAGCTGACCTTCATTTGCCAGCCTTGTTTAACTCAGGGCTGCTATTTGGATGCCATACCTGCTAAGTTCTCTTGCAACAAGAGCTGTTTGTCTTTCAGGTCTACTGGAATTTGTGCTGTCTATAAGCGTGTGTACATTCCATGTGCCAATGGTGAGTGGAATTGTCTTTGCAGATGTTTTTGTACATTTTTTGTGTTTCAACCACAGAGTGGGATTTCCCACCAGCCACAGTAATCAGACCAGGACTGAGGAAGCAAACAATTTTTAGGGCACCTTTTCTAGCCCCTTCCTCACACCAGGCGGTGAGCAGTGCTAACCTTAAAAGGCTGCTCAGACACCCAGGGGGTTGCCAAATCCCATTGCTGCTTCCAGTGAGAAACTATTCTATGGCCTGGGCCACCAATGTGCAAGATTGTGACTACAACTCCCAGTGTATCTGCACCTGCTGCTTTGTCACTTGCCTGTTGCCACAGGACTTTGAAATAGGTAAAATGGTAAAATGGTATGGATGATGCCCTTTGATTAGTGAGTAAATTGGATTTAGATTTAAGTGAGGCAGACACTTATATACTTGTGTGTATATATATATATATATATATATATTTAAAGCAAGACGTACATAAAAGAGATCTTCTTTTCCAGTTCAATGCATACATGGAAATGTCCATTTTATTTGTATTTAAGTTTGGAATAAAAAGAAATTTTAAGCCATTAGTTGGATCATTTTGGTTTCTGTGATAAATTCAAAGGTCCAAAGCTGGAGGTTAAAAGGATTTGAGAGGAGATAATGGTTGATTCACCCCATACTAAATATCCTAAAAAGAGAAGCCTTGACCCCTGGTTCCATAGTGATGATCTAGCTGGTCTGGTTATATAAGAGGGAAAGGCAAACTTTGCCAACCATGCAACTTTCCTGAAATCTCGTACCTTTTATAGAGAAAGAAAGACCCTTCATGGCACAAATGACTAGAAAGTCTAAAAGGAAACTGAATGATTGCTTATTTTGGAAAATTATGACTGATACAGAAAGAGGAGTTTATATTCCTATAGAAGCAAAGGACAGCTATCTCTCACCCAGGGCATCCTGAGCAAAAACTGTGTGGAAATGTTTGCTGACTATCCACTAATCAGTGGCCTTTCATTTCCCGTGCCTTCTTTCTTTCCCAGAAGATAGGCTATCTATTTGGACAGCATGGAAACCGGCTTTTATCTGAGCATTTTCTCAATTTTCTTTCTTTCTTCTTTTCTTCCTTCCTTCCTCCCTTCCGTTCTTCCTTCCTTCCCTCTCTCTCTCCTTCCTTCCTCCTTTCTTTCCTTCCTACACTCCTGTCCAGAGTGTCCTTCATGGATTTAGTATGATTCTGGCTATGACTGAGTTAAAGAGAGAGACAGATTGATAGTGGATAGTGATTTGACTTCAGAGTCAAATAGAAGTGATTTCAAGTTGTACCTCTAATAAATATTGGCTGTGGAGAAGTGATAAATTCAAGGTAGAGATCAACATACATAAATGTATGTATGGGTATATGTATTTATATATATATGTGTGTGTGTATATATATATATATATATATATATAAATGTTTGTATATGTATATGTATACACATATATACACACATGTATAGACATATATACATATATATGCATACACACATATACATATTTTTTGGCACGGCTGGTGGAGGAAATTGCTTGTTTCACTAATTTATTTGCTACCAGGGTTTTATTTTGCTGGGTTTTTTAATGAGGAGTAGGAAGGTAGAATGAAGAGAAAATATATTTTTGTTAATTAAAAAAATACAATTTAATTTTTTAAAATATACAACAAATACTGGTATGGGACTGACTAGTTCACAACCTCAAATTTCTAAGACTATTAGTTGCACAGAAAATACCTATCTGCAATTATAGAAGGAATGCCTCATTAGGATTTCTCTACATTGATTAACTCACAGTTCTGGTGGGGAAAAAATAATGGGATGAAACTGTTGGGTAGGAGAATCATCAATACACCTGTGGGCAACAAATCTGAAAGCCTCTTGGGAGACCACCAGAGGGAGGACTTGACTTGAAAGAAAGAGAGATGAGAGAAACAGGCTTTTTTTGTGTGTGCTCAGTTAAGTGCCTTTCAGTTAAAGAAACCATAGGATGCTGTTATAGATAAAACTGTATAGGATGGAGAATAGGAGGGGAGGGAAGAATGTCTTATCTTTAAAGGCCAACTGCTTTATTGTATTGAAATAAAATCAGTAATGAGTTCTTGACATAAAGAAGAGGAAGTTAAACTTCTTAAGAAAGGTTGCTCAGTAAAATATGGACATAAATGAACCAATGAGTGAAAAGCATTTATTAAACACTTACTATGTACCAAGTGCAGTGAAAAGTGCTGGGAATGCAAATACACATTACAAAGACCTTTAAGGATCTTTTAGTCTAATGGAGGAGGCAACACACAAAGAGTAATAAACAGAGAGGGACAGTTTGGTCCAGAAATTTTTAGGGATGATGAGTGGAATGAGGTTTTAGGGGAATAGATTGACACATCCCCATACAAGAACAAAAGGAGGATTGATATGATCATGGTTAATAGTTCCCTGTCTTTGAGGGAGTAGAGAAGGAGGAAAAGTGAAATCTTAGGGAGCGGCAGAAGGAGGGAAGGTAGCTGCAAGTCTATGGAGGAGATAGACAGAGTTGGGAGTGAATTAAAGCATGGATGGTGCTTTTCCTGAATTAGTGGGCCAGGAGAAGAATCAAGAAAAAGAATAACCACGGTCAGAAAGAATGGTGGTGTCTGAATTCCCCAAATCAGGCTACCATTTTCCTTCTTCAGCCCTATAGGGAATGGGGAACACCATTACCTTGGTCATATATCTAGGTCTTAAAGGGACCTTGGAGGCCATCTGGTTCAACCCCTTCTTTTTTATAGTGAGATAATTGAGGCTCAGAGATGCTAAGTGATTTATTCAAGGTCACATAAATAGTAAAAATCAAAGATGGGTTTTGAACCAAAGTCTTCTGACTTCAGAGTCTTTGAAGGATCAAAATGAGTACTCCATCCACTTATCCAAATTGCAATCCCTCCTCCTGTTCAATTCTTGTCCATGTAACTCTTCTATAAAGGATTTATAATTATCTGGACTATATTCAGTCAAAGAAATGTCAGCTACATCTCAATGCAAATGGTCCTGGAAAGAAGAACTAAGTAAAAATTGCTGAAGCAAATTTCAGCTCAATGTAGGGAACTCTCTCTAAGAGTAGAATGCACTACTTCAGAAGGTTTTTCCCTCACAGGTAGTATTCGACTGGAGGTTGGATGCTCACTTCTGAGGGATGTTGTAGAGGGGACTTGTATTCATAGAAGCACAGATCACAGATTTAGAGATGGAAGAGTTCTCAGAGGTCATCTAATCCAACACCTCTCCCTTTTACTAATGAGAAACCTTGGGCCTGAAGAGCAATGATTTGTCCAGGGCTCTTTCCACTGCACTGCACAGATTCCATTAAAGGGCCCCTGGAACTCCCTTTTACCTCTGAGATTTTATGAATGGCAAGATTGCTATCAAGCATATCAACATGGTCTGGTGGAGAGAGCACTGATTTTGGAATCAGAAGACCTAGATTCACATCTCAGTTCTTTCCTTTATTGCTTGTGTGACTTTGGCTGTCATTTTATCCCTCAGGTCCCACATTTCCTTATCTTTAATTGGGAAGAGGGACTACATGACCTCTAAAATCCCTTCAACTTAAAAATTCCATTATCCTAGAAGAAGGAGGAGGAGGAGGAGGAGGATGAAGGGAGGAGGAGAAGGAAAAGAAGGAGAAGGAGAAGAAGAATATGAAGAAGAAGATGAAGAAGAAGAAGAAGGAGAGGAGGAGGAGGAGGAGAAAAAAGAGGAGGAGGAGGAGGAGAAAAAGGAGGAGGAGGAGGAGGAGGAGAAGGAGGAGGAGGAGGAGGAGGAGGAGGAGGAGAAGAAGAAGAAGAAGAAGAAGAAGAAGAAGAAGAAGAAGAAGAAGTTCCATGTGAAAAACAAGAAGTACACACTGAGGAGAAAGCTGCCACTTACCCTCCAAAGGATGAAAAAGTAATTCTACAAGAGCTATCTGGTGAAAAGACAATTTATTTAGGAAGGGTCAGAGGAAGAAGAGAAGAGGAGTGATGCTTGGCTACCCTCTGCTGAAAGGTACTGAAACAGCCATGTGTCAATCAATAATGACAAAAGAGACACCTGCCATCTTTCTGGGATATGTTTCTAAGACCTCAAACAGCTCTCAAGACTGGTCACAGTGGGTGATTAATACCCTACTTCCAGTGATTCAAAAGGACACAAGTGACTTTACCAGAAAGGAACTAGAAAGTATTTTTAAAATGTGAGAAATGATTATCATTTCTCTCATTTATTTAATAACCAGTTATTGTGTTAGGAAGAAGGATTTTCCCCTTTTCTACTTCCTCATTCAGAAATCAACCAGTGTGGGAAATCTTTAGCAGATATTTACCCAAATCAAGATCTAATCAGACAGTAAAAGAAATTCTAAGGTTGGGCTAATAGGTGCATTCATGCTCACTGTGTTCAGTTAGGTCTAGGGAAGGATTGATTCTCTCTTTTGTCAAATAAGTGATATGGAAATTGGGAAGTCTCTTTGACAGAGATTTTGGTGATCCAAGTCACATACTTCAAGACTCTCATTGCAATATAGCCCACTCTTTCATTATAGTATTCATTTTATCATTAAGTGTTAACCAATCAGTGTTGATTGCCAACCTAAGGAACACCTACTGGGCATATAAGCTGTGAGCTCTCCCCATGAGGGGTCTTTTGTCTAAGAGATATGGCCAATTGACCATACTTTTATTAAAATGCTGGCATTGTTAATAAAACAACTGAATTACCCAGAAATTATGTCTCAGAAGTTTTTAATCGGGGCAGCTAGGTGGCGCAGCGGATAGAGCACTCGTCCTGAAGTCAGGAGGACCTGAGTTCAAATCCAGCTCAGACCAAACACTTGACACTTACTAGCTGTGTGACCCTGGGCAAGTCACTTAACCCCAATTGCCTAAAAAAAAAATAAATAAATAAAATAATTTTTTAATCATCATGTGAAGATTTCAAATCTTTTAGAAAGAAACTGAAGACCTTAAGGTTTCATCAAAGCTGAGAGATGTCATAGATAAATGAAGGTTAGGGAAATTAACAGCTGGTTAAGAACATGGTATTATAGATAAATGATCAAAAGATATGATCAGTTTTCAGATGAAGTAATCAAAACTATCTATAGCCATATGAAAAAATACTCTATTGGTTGGAGAAATACAAATTAAAACAATTTTGAGGTACTACCTCTTACCTATTAGATTGGCTAATAGGACAGAAAAGGTAAATGACAAATGTTGGAGGGGATGTGGGAAAAATGAGACTTTAATGCACTGTTGGTGGAGTTATGAATTGATTCAACCATTCTATAGAACAATTTGGAACTATGCCCAAAGGGCTATAAAACCATGCATACCTTTTGACCTAGCAATACCACTACTAGGTCTGTAGACCAAAAGAGATTAAAAAAAAAACAACAAAAATGAAAGGGAACTATATATACAAAAATATTTATAGCAGCTCTCTTCTGGGGGTAAAGAATTAGAAATTGAGGAAAAGCATATCACTTAGAGAATGGATGAATAAGTTGTAGTATGTGATTATGATGGAATACCATAAGAAATGATGAGCAAGATGCTCTCCAAAAAACCTGGAAAGACTTGCATGGGCTGATGCTAAGTAAAATGTACTGTGTACAAAGTAACAGCAATATTCTAAGATGATCAGCTGTGAATGACTTAGCTATTCTCAGCGATACAATGATCCAAGACAACTCTGAAGGACTTATGATTAAAAATGCTATCCATCCCCAGAGAAAGAACTGATGGTGTCTAAATACAGATTGAAACATACTTTTTTTAACTTTTTAAATTTTTTTTGAGTTTTTTTTGGTCTATGTTTTCTTTCACAACTTGACTATTATGGATATGTTTTGCCTGACTACACATGTATAACCTATATCAAATTGCTTGCCTTCTCAATGAGGGGGGTTGAGAAGTAGGAAGGTAGAGAATTTGTAACTCAAAGTTTTAAAAACAAATGTTAAAACTTGTTTTTATATATAACTGGGGAAAAATAAAATACTAAATAAAAGCTAACTATATGTATATGTATGAATGTATATCACTCTATATGTATATGTATATGTATATGTGTGAATGTGTGTGTATGAAAGAAGATGGTCTCCCACAACTTGAATAGGGTTTCTGGACCAAAGCTTAAGAAGTAGAAATGAGAGGCTTTGGACCAGAGATACACCTAACAAGAGTTAACTGCATTTGCCTAGGGTATCGAAAGTCTAATCAAAGGATAAAGAGAGATATTCCACCTGTGATTTCATTGGTATAGAGAATGCCCAGGTGAGGAAACTCCCTCTACAAATGGAGGTCAACACCTCATCTGCAGTCTAGAGTCTTGGAGAATTGCTTAGAACCCATGCTCTAGTTAAGTGACTTACCCAGGGTCACATAGCCAATATGTATCAGAGGCAAGATTTGAATCTGTGTCTGCTTAGCTTTGAGGCCAGTTCTCTGTCCACTATGTCATGTTACTTCTTTTAACTCTAATCAAAAGGGCCTTAAACTGAAAAGGAAGGGAGAAATAAAAACTGGTCTATATTCACCAATCTAGATACTGTAGAAAATAGCTACAAGGTAGGAAGAAAAGTGGCAGTCAAAACACCCAGAAGTTCAGAAGTCAAAATCCAAGAAAGGATCTGGTCATAAAGGCCACAGCTCACACTGTATTTTACAATAAGCTCCAAATGGTTACACGACTTAGAATATGACAGGTTCTATTGTAAACAAGAGGAGAAAAGAGGAAGGAAAGATATACCTTTCCAAACTCTGAATATAAGGAAGAATTCTTAATTAATAAGGATTGTAAGTGAGCATAAAAGATAAAAATAGACAATTGTTGTTGCTTAAAATTGAGAACTTGCACAAAAAAATAAAGTTTTGATTGTGGAAGTTAGACTTATTAAGGAAACAGTTTACTGGGTTGAATCTTTGGAGCAAATTTCTCAGAAAAAGTGCTCTTGGTTTATTTAGTTGACTGTACTTGGGCTTTGGTAGTAGATAGGGCAGTGATACAAAAACATATGAAAAGAAAGAAAAGTCCATCAATGAAACATTAAAAACAAACATAGTAGAGAGAAGAATACAGAAGGTGGTAACAGGGATTATGGACAAGCAAGGCAATTTTGTTGTTACTGTGTTACATTTAATATATAGTTTGAAAACTTTATATGTGACAGTTCAGTTTCCTATGCTACCCTCTTTTTTGTTCTTTATATGTAGAAATGTTCATGTTCCCTTATGGTTTGTTAAATTCATAATTTAACATTAAGAATCTAGAGTTGGAGCAATAAGGCTAAGGTATGGCACTCCCTCTTTTTTGCATTAAGGGGCCCCTGTCACCTCTGGACATATGCACATGGTCCAAACAATACCAGCCTTGGAGAGCCTGACCTTTAACGAGAGAAGTTAGAATCCCATTTCTCATACTCTTTGGCTCATTTTGTGCCCAACTCCAGCACTTAAGGTTTTAGTTTTGCTTCACTAGATCAGCTAGGGTTATCCAGATTAATCACATCTGGGGTCTCCCTGTAGGTGGAAATAGGAATCAGGTATGGGACAGTTATCTATTTCCTATGCACAAAAGACTATCATGTGGAAACTTAGAGTGATACCAGAGAGTAGGACTAGGAAAAGCTTACTAACAATTTGAGTTACCAAAAAATGGAATGGACTGTCTTGGGAGATAAAGAGCTTCCACTTATTGAAGATCTTCAAGCAAAAGTTGGCTAACCACTTTTCAAGTATGTTGTTGAGGGAACTCATTTTTAGCTAAGATTTTGGGCAGTCTGGACCCTTTTAGCTCTGAAATTCTGTCTCTGTGATTCTCTCCCAATCTTCCAGTACCCACTGGGAGCAGTGAAAATAAGAGCTGGATATTTGCTTCAGTTGTTTATTAATCTGTGGAAGCAGGACAAGGACAGAGCTCTACCCTGTAAACAGAATCGATTCTTTATAACCTGTGGAATCCAGTCTCGTCTCGTATTCTTGGCTTAAACTAGAGCACACTCTGTCCTGTTACATCTTTCCTGTTGTATACCAGGTAAGTTTCTGATAGGAAATATAGCCTGTGGAACTTGGGTCAAAGATCTGTGTGTTTAACTTGGTTCCAGAAAAGGACTTTCCATCAGATTCTCAGGCAAAGTTTGTATCTGTAACTAGAGAGCTATTATCAAGGGTCTTTCTATTTTGATGCTCTTCATCTCCTTTTAGGTCCCTTGGTTCCTTTGGAAGTATGGCAATCTTTAGAAACAGGCCAGATCTGGTGCAGGGAAAAGAAAAAGGGGCATGGAATTATTTGTTCTCTGACTGAAGGGTTAGCAACTTCCCCACCCTGCAGCCCATGAATTGCCTGGCAAGAACAAATGAGATTTACAAAACTTTTTGCAAGTCTAAACCATAGGTAGGAATGAACAAAGTAAGAAAAAGGAAGGGTGGGAGGACAGAAAGGAAGAAAAAAAGGAAGGAAGGAACAAAGGGAGGGAGGGAGAGAAGGGAAGGAAAGTAAGGATTTTGTATATCAAGCTTTTTAAAATTTATTGTATTATTTATTCTGTATATCCAGTCCCATGCTATGCACTATAGAGGATCCTAGGAAATAGAAGACATGCTGAAAAAAGCAGCCAGACTAGCCTGGGCAGTGAGAGTAATGAGTATACAGTATGTGGATTGGAAAGACAAGAGATGTGTCAGTCTTTAGTTGAGAGTTCTCATTAGGACAGAATGGGGAATAAGCCAGGATAAGCAGGGTAGGGATTAACTTGTATAATGGTTTCCAAATCAGTTTGGGTTGTTTAATCTTGTAGACACTGGGGAGTGAATAAAACACTGACCAAGAGACTGACAGGATCCAAAGCAGTGAAACTGGCAGGGGTGTGTGCAGGCTGCTTTGGAGGGAAAAGAGATAGGTGGTGCAACCACCAAGGGGAGACAATAGTGAGGAGGCAAATAGGCTGGTTGAAGACCTCTGCCATTTATCTTTCTAAAATGATTGACCTCTATTTTCTCCCCTTTAAAGGTTTGAAGGATGGCTGTCTTTTCCTGGTTCCCACTCCTCCTCATCATCATGGCAAAGACCGACTACTCAGAGCCAGTTTTGAGTGAGAGGACTGAGCAGACCTGCTGCTCCCTGGTCTCTTGTGGTACCCCTGGGGCAAATGGGGCTCCTGGAAAAGATGGAAGAGATGGGCTCAAGGGAGAAAAGGGAGAACCAGGTACAGGCCGATTGGGGTCCTTCTCCCTGAGTCTTCATTTCTACCAAGTGTTCCCATAGGACAACTGCCTCTTCCAGGAGTTCAGACTCAACACATGAGGTCACATTTATCAGTGATGTTGAATTGTTTTTCTAGATACAATCTCTGTCCAAAAACCTCTCCTCTAAACAAGGGAGTGAGATGGTCAAGGCTGTTCTATTGATCTCGCTCTGATAATCTGGCACCCCCAGTTTCCAAGTAGTCAAAGGAAGGATTATGTTGGTGCCTTACCAAAAAAAGCAGTATATTGGGGCTACTTTCAAAGGTTATCTCTTGACAATTTCTCAATCCACTCCTCTTTGGGGAAACCTGTGGAACACTGCTTACTTAACTAAATTTGAAGTAAACACTGAATGCTGGGAAGAAAGTCTAGGAACTCTTTCATGAGGTCACCAGTTTGTTTTATGCCCCCATAAGGTGTCCACTTAGAGTTCACAGTGAAATATTTTTTGCTTGTTTCACTCCATTTTGTAGAGAAGCAGAGGGCTATGAGTTCAGAGTTCTGCATACCCATCTGTATGGTGGTTTTGCTTATAGTGGTATACCAATTAATTGGGACAATCTATAGTAACTACATTTCCTGGCATATAATTAGACTTTTATGTCCTCCAAAAATGTTTAATATGTAATGTTTCCTCCATTTCTTGTGAGCCTTTGTTATATGTAATTTAGTATTGAGTTCACCAATATATTCTTTAATTCTTAATTCATGAAAACACACTTATCACATTAGATATTAATTATAACTTTTAAAATAGTCATTTTTCAAAATCTAGCCTTGATTATAGCCTACAGACTCTTACTAGGGCTTAAATCTGACAAGTTCTCAGGCACTGAAGCATATTTCTCTCCAGTTCCTGAATAAATTTCTTAGCTTTTCATGACCTGTAGCATGGTGCAATGTTGCATTGCTATTGGGGAAGTCCCATAATACCAAAACAATTCTGTTTATCAGTATATCATTAGATTTATCAGAGTTCATCATTTTCTTCAGTTGAGACAAAATTTCCAGGCTTACTGAAAGTAAAAATCCCCCCAAATTTTTTGGAGATTAATGTTTTACAGTGTGATGAAGATGCCCAGGTCTTGTAAGCTTATCTGGACTCCTAAAAATAGGTTTGGAATTAAAAGACCTTAGATGAAAAAAATAAGTTCATTAATAAAAAAAATTACCATTTTCTAATCTTTAGTACATTAATCTTTATGTAATTTTGCCAATTAAAAACATTTTTTATTGCTAGTAAGAGTTAGCAACTGATTTTCAACTAGTCTTATTACTGATCTTTCAATATTAAAAAGTCTACACCATACTGTAGAATGATCACTAACAACTCTTCCAGCCTCCAGGTTCCTACAGAGTTCTTTACTTGTTTTCTGAGGATAATCAAGCTATTTTGCAGCCACACTTTGTCAGCTGTTAACATTGTTTTTCATTTGGATTTCACTACCCTTTTTTGCTTTGTTGAGACTGGTTCTGTTTCTTGTGGGCTTCAAAGATCCTTGAAATGCATGACTTCCCCATGCCATTCTCAGCAATACTTCTAATAGCTATTGAAGTGTGATCTTTGAGAGCTACAATTTTTCCTTGTTTCCTTGAAGTAATAGCCATTCTTTAAAATTCTACAGAATTGACAACACAAGAGAACAATGAAAGATGTATGCATGGTCCCAAATCCACTATTCAGCTGACAAAGAACTAACTAAAAGTGGGGAAACCAGTTTGACCTGGTTTCCTTTGGTCAAGGTAATACTGAGTCAGTCTGGTGTCATTAGAATCACACACATACGATTATTACTGTCACAAAATGGAATCATTTTTTAAAAGGTATTGCTTGTCCCAAGTAATTTGCACACCATCACAACTTTCTTCGTTTCAAGAAAGCGATCTTGGTAGGTGGTAGGGAGGTGAAATGGCCATATACAGAAAAGACCATATATAAAACAAGAACTAACAATAAAATTCTTTTTTTCAAATATTTTTAAAAACTGAATACAAAGATAAGTTTATTTATTGTCCAATAATAGGCCAAGGGCTCAGAGGTATCCAGGGCCCTCCAGGGAAAATGGGGCCTCCAGGGCAACCAGGATCAAAGGGAGTTCCAGGACTACCAGGCTTGAAAGGAGATAGAGGAGACAGTTCAGGTAAGGCTGTATCTGCTTCGTGCTTGCCCTAGCAGGAAGGAGGCCATTTAGGGATTTTGGGTTTAGATCCAGCAAGCAGATGATCCCTTGTCCAAATACCCTATTACCAGGGCAGTCAAATGTCCCCTTCCACTTGTATCATTACTGGCAGAGACTCCTCTATGACTGCACACCTCTCCCCTTCCCCACCCTTGCTTCACTGCAAGAGAAACTATGCATATATAACACTGTATATAGAACTAAACTTTTTCTAATACAATGACTAATTTGGCTGACCGTATTTTTTATTATTCTCCATTACAAGAAATGCCTCTTTGGGAAGGGTAAGTCAGAGGGATATATTAGGAAATGTAAGACAAAAATGACAAGATCTGGCAATGAAGTGATTGGATATGTGGGGTGAGTGAGGGTAATGACATTGAGGTTGAAGGCTTAGCTAAGTGGAAGGATGTTGATGCTCTTTATAGGGACAGAAAAGTACAGAAGAGGCCAGGACTTCAGAGTGGGATAATGAGTTCTGCTGAGTTTGAGGTTTCTGTGGGATATCTAGTTTGAGATACATGACTATTACTTCAAAAGAGAAACTAGAGCTAGACATATAGGTCTAGGAATTATCTCTATAGACATAATCATTGAACTTTTGGTAACTGATGGGATCACCAAATGAGCTAGCATAATAAAAAGCAAAAAGAGAAGAGAGCCTAGGACAGAGCCTTGGGGAACACCTAAAGTGAGAAGATTGATACAATTGGATAACCAGCTTTTAAAAAGGAACAAAAGGAATGATCAAACAGATAGGAGGAGAACCAGGAGAGAGCAGTATCACAACAAATTTGAGAGTATCCAGATGGCAATTGACATTGTCAAATGCAGAGGCCATTAGTTGGCCCTGAGAAATCAGTAGTAACTTTGGAGAGGGAAGTTACCTTTGAGTGATGATTCTGGAAGCAAGCTTGCAAGGGTTTAGAAGAAAGTCTGGGGAGGAGCAGAGATCAGTATGATAACACTCTCCCAATTGTTTTGCTTCTAGTTTCTTTGAATAGGCTATCAGCCTTGGAAAGAAAAATCCAGCGCCTTGAGACACAACTGGAAAATATCAATGAGTGTAAGCTAACCATTCATGAAAATGGTATCCCTTCTCTCTAGTTTACACTTGAGATAACTCTAAGCCAGAGGCATAGTGGTTTAGTGTAAAGATTATTGGGTTTAGGTTTATAGTAACTGGGGTTTTGGGCCCATGTCTAATACCCACTAGCCAGGTGACCATATGGGAACACTCAACTTCTCTGGCATTCTATTTCCTCATCTGTAAAATGACAATGATGCTAATAATACCATGTTCCTCTTGAGGTTGTTGAAAGGAAATAATTTTGTTATGAATAAATTATCATACAAGCATTCATACTATTTTACATGTATTGGGAAAAGCAGTGGACTTCAAAGAAAAAAGATCTGGATTTTGGTTTTGTTTCTTACTAGCTATGGGACTCCATCTCCCTAAGCTTCAGTTTTGCAATAGGGGAAATAAAACTTTTTGCAATAGAGGAAATAAAACTTATACTTATAAAGCAGAAATAAATTATTATTATATAATATAATATTTATATAAGTATATATTATTATAAATACATGAGAGGGAGACTCAGAAGCAGGGTGATCTGGCTCAGTGTACTGGCCATGTGATCCCAAGCAAGTCAATTTCATCTCTTCTCATCTCTCAGTGCCCCCAAGCTACTCTCTAAGACTGTAAGTTGCCAAGCAGGTGCCGATCTCCACTGATAAAGGGAGTTTCATCTTTGGTACTTTCCTGTACTAATGAAATCACAGGTAAAAAAAAATTAAATCAAAATGTGTTCCAAATACCAAAATCCCCATTGTGTAATAGGAGGAAACCAAATCTGCTGGAGAAATTTGACATCATTTGAGGAATTCTTCAGTAGCTATTGAAGTACTTAGTAGCCAAACCTTGAATCTCAAGGCAGTTCAGGCAAAGAAAACTCTTCAGAGCTCATTTATTCAATGGAAACAAATGAAATGACAAAAATGGGGCAAGGGGTGGAGGGTAAGACAGTGGAGAATACCAACATCCTTTCTTAGTCAGGATCTATGAGCCCTGTTATAAATTAACCTCTAAAATCATAAGCTCTTAAAGGTAAAAGGAACCTGAGAGGTCACCTAATGAAATCCAACATATTTTCTTGAACATAGTAGGTATGTGATAAAGGTTTATTGAATTGAACTCAACCATAGGAGTCCCCTCAGTGATGTCCTTAACACTGATCATCTAGTCCTCTGCCTGAACATTTCCATGAATGGCAGCCTATGCAGAGTATGATTATTTGGTTTTATCAGGAATTGCTTCCTTATATTAAGCCCAAGTCTACCTCCCTGTAACTTCCATTGATTGTTTCCATGCCCAGTGCTGCCCTCTAGTGCTACATAGAATAAACTTCTATGTCTCCTGAGATATCTCAAGATAACCATCTCTCGTATTTCTTTTGTTTCTAGCCTTTCTCAAACTGATCACAGTCTCAAGTAAACAAATAGAGATCCTTCAAGCTCAAGTGGACAAGAACAAAAATAGTAAGCTAGCTCTTCATGATGGTGGTGTCCTTTCTTGCTCATGTACTCTTTGGGGGACTTTAAGCCAGAGGCAGCAGCTTCATGTGGGAAAAAATTGGGCTTAGTGAGAAAAGTGGGGCTTCAATCTCAATCTGATATCAAATAGTCACAGGGCCTTAGGAAAGCCACTTAAACTAACCTCTCTAAAGCCTTGATATGTTCACCGGTAAAAACGGGAATAATAACACCACCTACCTCCTGGGGTTGTTGAGAGGAAAGTACTTTGTAAACTGCAAAACCCCCTAGAAATGTGTTATTAATAGTGTTTCACAAATAATGGAAAGAGCACTGGACTTACAATGAGAAGATCTAGGTAAACAAGAAAGCAAATTGGCTGTACAGCCAGAGGCCCTAGGTTCAGATCCTGCCTCTGACACTTCCTTTCTATGTGGCTTTGAACATGTCACTTAATAGCACTTGAGATTAATTGCAAAATTGAGCCTGTGAATGAGACAGCCTCCGAGGTCCCTTCCAGGTCCAGATTTATAATCCAATGCTCTGGGTTTTAGTTCTACCATTTTCTAGCCTTGTGATTAAAGGTAATTCTTCAAACATCAGTTTCTTAATCTTTAAAGTAGAGATAATAATTCTAGAGCATAGGTCCAGCTCCATGAGAGGCACTCCAGTACAAAAAATCAAGGGATTCTTTCTTCACACCAGCCACATGAACAGTAGCTGAAATTTAACACTTTAAAATTCACAAAATGCTTAAATACATTACTTAATTTGAACCTTTCAGCTAACCCTATGGAGCAGCTAGTAGTAGTAGTAGTAGTAGTAGTAGTAGTAGTAGTAGTAGTAGTCGTAGTAGTAGTCGAAGTAGTCGTAGTAGTAGTAACTAATATTTCTACAGAGTTCTGAAACTGCAAAGTTAATTCACCTACACTATTTCATTAAAAGCTCATAACAACCCTGTGAGGTAGGAGCTATAGGCAGTTATCCTCATTTTTATAGATGAGGAAACTGAGGTTCAATGAGATTAAGGGATTTGCTCAGGGTCACAGAACTGAGTGAGATTTGAACCCAGGTCTCCCCTGACTCTGCTACTAACATGCTCCCCATTCCATGAACCACACTGAGGCAGGTGCTTTACAAACTGGAAAACACTATCTGTGAGCTGTTTTAAGCAGGTTGGATTATAGAGAGATGGGGACAGGGTGGGGCCGGAGGGAGGTTGGTCCACATCTGTGATATCATCATTGCAGGGAAATACTGGTGACAAACTCCTTTCACTGACACAGATTAGCAATGACCACTCCAGTTTCCCTATAATGGATAATTTTAAAGATTTATTGAGGGCATTGAGAGGTTGCATGATTTACTCATGCTCACATGACTAGCATGAGTTCATGGTCAAATTTAAATCCAAGTCTTCTTTATTCCAAGACCAATCCTCTCTTCACTATATCACACTGTTTCTCATGATTGTTTTTGTTAATAAGGGGAGGAGGGGAATAGCAAATAGCTAAGAATTCTAATCACACATTGACTTTGAATCACAGTTTCCCCTGTCAGCTACGTCCCTATCTACGTCCCTTTTCCAGGCTGGTCAGTCTTTAATCTTTAGCTGTAATGAATCTATTCACTTCTCTTTGGTCTACCTGCCCTGGGACAAATGTTCCTTGATGTTTTTCCATGGTTTCAGTTCTATGGGTAAAGACTCATTGGTCTTGGTCAAAAGTTTTCCTTTGGTTCACAAGCCAAGCCCTTCCGACACTTGAATTATGGTCTTCATCTAATTCATGTTGTCCCTGGAATGTAGACTCTTGTCCTCATACTATAAGAACAGAATCTCATGACTAAACCAAGGGTTCTTAACTCAGGATCCATAGACCACCAAAGGGTCTACAGATAGATTTCAGAGGGTCTTTAACTAGGATGAGAAAGAAAATTCCATCTTTATTTACATCTGACTGAAATTCAGTATTTTATTCAATTATTTAAAAATATTAATCTAATAAGGGATCCATAGGTTTCACCAATTGCCAAAGGAGTCCACAAAACGCACAAAAATAGTTAAAAACCCCTGGTCTGAACAAATGTGATTATGTCTCTCCTGAGGTAGCCATTCCCAGAAAAGGCATTTGTTTGTTCCTGGGCTGTGCTTATCAACCATATTCATCTTACCTACAGTTCTGACCTTCTCCGTGGGCAAAAAGGTTGGGAAAAAACTGTTCCTAAGCAATGGAGAAAAAGCCAATTTTGACAGAGTGAAAGTTCTTTGTGAGCAATTTGGGGCCACCATTGCAATCCCAAAGAATGGAGAGGAGAATAAAGCTATACAGGACTTGGCCAAAGACACCCCTGCTTTTCTGGGTATCACAGACAAAGTTCAAGAAGGACAATTTGTATACATCACAGGAGAAAGAATGACCTACACCAACTGGAAGAAGAATGAACCCAATGACTATGGATCTGGGGAAGACTGTGTATTGTTGAACAGTGACGGATCATGGAATGATATCTCCTGTACAACTTCCTTGCTTGCTGTCTGTGAACTCCCTGCCTGAATGGATCCCTTAATGGGGATTGAATGTTGAAGTCCTTTATCTGTGACTCCATATCAATGACACCAGAAATGAATGCTGGAATTTTGTAAGCTTGACATTCAGTTGCCATTTTCTGTATTTAAACACATAATTAAAATACCTAACTCACTCTTAATTTTCTCATGCAGATTTATGTTAGACATGATGCCTCATTAATATGTATATGTATATGCTAGGGAAGTGGAGAACACTTTGACCTGGAAAGAGAAAACCAAGAAATGTAATTCCGTAAGCAAGAGCTTTGTTAAATTAAGTAGATTTGTGAACAATATGTGTTCATGGTATATTTCAACAAGAGATGCCTTGAGTCTTACCATCATTCCCAAAGGCTAATCTCAAGCTTGAACCTTATGTAAGAGTATAGAATACAATCGCAGAATGATAGACCATTCTGAGGAATCTTACATCTCATCTCATCCTAATTACTCATTTAGTAAATGGGGAAACTGAGGACCATCATGTCACCCACCTACTCCATAAACTTCAGTGGCTCCCTATTGCCTCTAAGATCATATACAAAATCCTTTGATTGACATTCAAAGCCCTTCATAACCTAGCCTTCTCCTATTTTTTTCAGTCTTTTTACACCTTACTCCCTGTCATGTACTCTTCAATCCAGTGACATTGGCCTCCTTGCTGTTACATGAACAAGACACTCCATATCTCAGCTCTGGGAAATTTCTCTGGCTATCTCCCATCCCTGGAATGCTCTCCCTCCTCATCTCTGCCTCTTGCTTTTCTTCAATTCCCACTTAAAGTCACACTTGTTATAGGAAGCTTTTTTTTCCCTTTCTTTTCCCTTGACTTGAGAGTAGGATTCCCCCTATTATTTACAGTTAATTCTGTATGTATTTACACGTGATTGTTTGCTTGTTGTCTCCCCCACTAGACTGTGAATCCCTTGAGGTCAAAGACTGGCTCTTGCCCCTTTTTGTATCCCCAGTGTTTAGCACAGTGTCCATCTGTCCATCACATTGTAGGCACTTAATACATGTTTATTGACTGACTGACTGAAACCTGAACCAATAAAGTGAATTGCCCATGGTCATATAGTTATTGGCAAAACCATTAGAACCCAGGTCTGCTCCATGTCAAATTCCCCACTTTTCAAGCATTGTCACAATTTTGGTCAAAGGTTCATTTTCCCTTCCTATTCTATATCTTAATCCATAACTGACTGTACCAGCAGACTCCCAGCACCTTCCCATCCCATTTTCTCTTTCTCTTTAGTTCTTCCAGCTGTTTCCACTAAAGGACCTTGACAAACACCAGTGGGATTCCCAGCACTTCTGCCTTACATGATATACTTCACTAAAAGTTACAAAGAAAATCATTATTGCTCATCTCTATGGAGTCAGAAGATGTGTGGAGCCTAAATTCCTCATTAGGTTTTTTGTTTTGTTTTGTTTTGTTTTGCTTTGGTTTTTTAACCAAACAGAGCACAGCATGTGGTCAGTCAGTCAACAGGCATTCATTAGGTTCTTACTATGTGACATTTAAAGAAAGGCAAAAACAGTCCCTGTCCTCAATACATTCTAATGGGGGCATACATTCTAATGGGGGGCATACATTCTAACAGGGGAGGCATCATGTAAATAAGTACATTTAAGATACAGAGTAGATGAAAGTAATCTGAAAGAAGGCATTAGGTGGGTCAATTGGGGCTGGGGATGCCCCCCTCTAGGAGGTGTGATTTGAGCTGCATCGTAAAGGAAGCCAGGGGAGCCAGGGGAGCCAGGGGCCAGAGGTGAGAGAGAAGAGCATTTCAGGTGTCTCTGTACCTTTGCCCAGGGAGAGCTTGGAGTGTGACATTCAAGGAACAGAAAGTAGGCTAATGTGGCTGGATGATAAAGTAGAATGTAAGGGTAGTAATCAATAATAGCCCACTTTTATGGAGACTTTGCAAAAATGTCTTCTTTCCAGCATTCCTGTGAAGTGATCCACACAAAGATATTTCCATAGCTATAGAGCTGCAAAAAATCTTAGATACCAATGAGTCAAGCTCCATTATTTTACAGTTGAGAAAACTGAGGCCCAGAAAGGGTACTGATACTGACTATTGTCTCTGCTTTTGTATTTCTATCCCCAATGCTTTTCCCATCTATCCATTCAATCAATTCTTCAACTGGCAGCTGAGGAGGGACAAAAAGTGTATCTTTTCCCCAAATTCCATGGTTTCTATACAAGATAGCTCTCCAGTCAAACTGCATATTGTTACAAACTTATAGTTCGTCTACTATGGACACTCTGTCCTCAAGGTCAAAAAAGCCTTGTAAAACAGGCTTTTTTCCACTTGTCCATGGAAGTATAGCTTAGTTATGTTTCCAGATAAGGCTTGTTGACTGGCTGATAATGTTGGGGCTCAGGCTACAATTGTCCAGTTGATGGGAATCAGATCTGAACCCTTAAAAGACCATGTCTTTGAAAGCAAACCAGTCCCTGAATTTTCTCATACATTTCAGTAACCCAGATCACTGTTGCTTCTGCCTGGGGAGTCTGGCCCACCCCAGCCCACCTTGATTACTAAATTAGCTTACTTGACACTCCTTAATTCCATCCAGGCCCCTTTCTCTGTTACTTCCAGACCACCCAGACTACTTGCCACTCCTTAATCCCATCCAGATCTTCCCACAGTCTGTATAAAAGTACCCATCTCATCCTCATCAAACGCTTAGATTCTTAAGATCTGGCCTGTTTGTACTGGTGTTACAAATATCCCAGACTCTCTAGGAATCTCCCTTACTCCCAGTGTTTTAATAAACTCACTACTGGGACTGAAAAAAGGCTTGAGTGGTTGAATTCTTTCAAGGCAGATTCACACTCTTTACCCTTGCATTTTGGGGTTTCCAAGACCCCTAGACTGCAACACAGCCAGCCTAAGTTTTTCCCCCTCTTTCCTAGAAACATAGCCTGGCAGAAACTTTCAATCCTTGCCTTCCCTGTAAGTAATAACACATACAGATTTCTTCCTTAAAGCAAGGGTGTCTGTTTACTGAATACAAAGGAGTCATCTAGATATTGATTACTTCAGGAAAACATTAGCCCAAAGACAAATATGCAGTTTGAACTAGAGAGCTACCTTGCATGGAGAGCATACAAGAAAAAGCATACATGGAAAAAGTAGTGATTCTTTCCTTTTTTTCAATAATAGCTATAAAACCTAACTTTTATATTATGTTTACTATGTGCTAAGCACTATGCTGAACATTTTATAATTATTATATCATTTGATCCTTACAGTTCGAAGGTGGATGCTATTATTATCCCATTTTACAGTTGAGGAAACTGAGGCAAAAAGTGGTTAAGTGACTTGCCCAGAGTCACACAGTTAGTAAATGTCTGAGGCTGGATTTGAACTCAGGTCTTCCTGACTCTGGGTCCAGCACTCTATCCACTGTACCACCTACAACAAAATCTATTGTGTGCAAGGCAACATGTAAAGTACTAGGTTTTGTTGTTTAGTTGTTTTCAGTGGTGTCCAACTCTTTGTGACTCCATTTGGGGCTTTCTTAGCAAAGATACTAGAGTGATTTGACATTTCTTTTTCCAGCTCTTTATAAATGAGGAAACTGAGGAAGCAGGATTAAGTGGTTTGGCCAAGGTTACACAGTGTCTGAGTGTCTGAGCCCAAATTTGAACACAGGAAGATGAGTCTTTCTAACTCCAGGCCTAGCATTCTATCCATTGCACCACCTAGCCTAGCTGCCCCATTACCGATGTTATTTTGAAATTATTAAAGGGAGGGTAGATAGAGGGGAAGGAGAACTGCTAAATGGACTACTTTTAATGCTAATGGGAAGGAGGCACATATTTCTGTGGCCATAAACAATAAAATTTAATATAAAAACTGAATGAACCCATAGTATATAGCAAGATGTTTTTTAATAGACTTTGTTTCAAACTTAAATCACTGCTCCCTTTCTTAGCTCAAAATCCTAGAAAAATCTATTTACGATCACTGCCTCCATTTCTTTTCCTTTCACTCCTCAATCCTTTGAAATCTGACTTCTAATTTCTTCATTTAACTGAAACTACTCTCTCCAAAATTATCAACAATATTTTAATTGCCAAATCAGACAGCCTTTTCTCAGTCCTCATCCTTCTTGAGCCCTGCACAGCATCTGACACTATTACTCACCCTTGCCTCCTGGACACTGTATCCTCCCTGGGTTTTCATGACACTGTTGTCTCCTAGTTCTCTTTCTATCTGTCTAACAGTTCCATCTTGCCCTTCTTTGCTTGATCATTATCCATATCAAGTCCCTTAACTATGGGTGTATCCCCAGGTTTTGTCCTGAGTCACCTTCTTTTCTTTCCCTGTATGCTCTCATTTGATTACTAAATAATCTCCCAAAGATGGGTCTATTATCTCTATGTTGATGTCGCCTAGATCTATATATTCAGCCTTGATATTTCTCCAGATCTCCAGTCCTGCATTGTCAACTGACTATCAGGCATTTCAAACCAGATGTCCCATAGACATCTCAAACCCAGTTTAAAAATGTCATCCTTGGGAATGAAGTCAAGATGGTGGAGTAAAAGCAGTGACTTGCTTGAGCTCTCCCCTAAACCCTTCCAAATACCTGTAAAAATGGCTCTAAACAAATTCTACAGCAGGAGAACCCACGAAAAGACAGAGTGAAACAAATTTTCATCCCAAGACAACCTGAACAGTTGATGGGAGAGGTCTGTTGCCCCAGGCTGGGAGAGGAGCACAAGTCAGTGTAGGCCACGCAGGCAAAGACCAGACCTCAGCAAACCCTGATCAGGCCTCAGTGGACTGAATCAAGGGGAGCTGTGGTGGTTTCCAGACTTCTCAACCCACAAATGCCAAAGACAACTTATAAGGTCAGTAGGAAAGATCTGTTGGACCTTGGTGAGAGAGAAGCATGGTCCATCCCCTCTTGGCACAGCCCCAGGATGGCAGCTGCTTCTGGAGCTCTTGGACCACAGACAGAGGGGGGATCGAGTGGCTGATCATAGGGGGATTGCAGGGATCTCTTTGCTGGTGCTGAGGAAGGATTCTCTTGCTTTGCCCATACTTGGATCTGAGTCACAGTCTTGGCTGGCAGTCCCGAGGCAAGGAGGAGTGCTGGCATGGTAGAGCTTGTAGTG